TCCAGCCAGTATATCCGTTTTGGTTGATCATGACAGGCAAGCCGACCGCCATGCTAAGGTAGCAACAACGATCGTGCTGGTACAGTTGGAAAACATCGGATAGTGTTACATCTCTATTTGTTACTCCTCAACAGTTCACACGCCTATATGTATTCCGGTTACCGCACTACATTTAACCACTAAAATGAAATTCACTAGTCATTATCTTCAACTTCAATAAACTAATATTTAGTGCGTTATCTATTGTTACCATTCCATATTTTCATCGCTCATAACTTCGTTGATTAATCATTGAAAAGTAGTTGTTTCATCATGGTTTCAAAATCTTTAAATGCATACAGTTGTGATGTCACATAATGTCAGATCTACGACCTCAATATTTCACTGTAAACACAGCAATCTATAACTTAAGACTGTCGCATGTTTCCATGATCGCTTTTTAAACTGAAGCTAAATTCAAATAATAATTTCGAAATCACCTTTTTTTCATGTAAACAGCATAATAGTGAACGTTTTCAGCAAACAAACAAACCAGTAAAATAGTTAAATAATTCTAAATTGGTCGTTTAACATTCTTATAAATAAATTATACCACTGTTTAATTGTCTACACCATTTTTTCATTTGTTCTAACTTCACTTTTGGACACAAGAAAAATGTTTTGTAGTAACAGTTGTTGTTGTTTAAATTTATTGTGTGCTTGAGTACATATACAAAATCTAATCGTATGAAAATAATCAATATTCCTGTGATTGATTAATCAAACAATATTTTTTGGATGCAACATGTTTGCCTAATATATAAGTATACCCGAATACACACATTGGTAAAATTATTGTTCAATATACTTTTAATGTAATGTAATCAATATTCTTCAGTAGTATGAGTAACTATAATGTCAATTTGAATAACCACAGCTAGTTTTTCACAATCCTTTATTGCGATTTTCTAACACTAATTGATCTCTGTCGTGGTGTAGATAGATAGACAGATATAGAGTTAGTTGCTTAACCAATTGGTTGATGCACAGACAACTAGTCATGTGAATAAATAATTGGTGTTTTACTGTACTTTTTAAACAAATACCTGTAAGGCAAAAATCTAAATTCATGATTAACTGCCATTTTAATTTTTTAAAATCAACTATATGCCTGGGATTTATGGTAAGTAATATACATTGTGTTAAAGTCAGTCATCTCACATACAAACACACGCTCTATACAACTATAAGCAGTGAGATATAATTGAAAATTATCAGCATAGTATATTTATCCATAACATTCATTCACTTTACAACTATGAATAAAAAAACAGATTAAGTTTTAAGAAAACTAAGTGGATTGGTATCTTAGATATGCAACGAACAGAATTATCCTACACCAGCTACAAGTTTTACTACTATCATCTGGAATATCGATAAAAATACGACAAAGAGTCGCTTAAAAACTATATTGAAGGAACTTTATAAACACAAATAAATAACATGATACGGGTTACTATCTAAATATTTCCGTTGTGACATTTTTGGCTGTGACACTGAGATGTATGAGTGTGAATTCAGTGGGTAAGGACTACTCCATCAAGGAATGCAGATAAGTATATATATATATATATAATTCGATGACGAAACCACCTATAAATCCTTATCCAACAGATTTCAAAAAAAAAAGATTACTGACCAAAAGATTCCATGGTTTATTAAAACATTAAAACCGAATTTTACAGATGAAATATTCACTTATCAGGCATTAAAAAATAAATGGATTAGTCAAGGATGTGACTGAAAGTCATACAATATATGAAATCTATTTCATGCAATTGGTTCCCTTTACGAATTTGAATAAAGCCAAAACAACAATTGAGGTAGAACAATATGAATTCATTATATTTCTTTGTCTCTCATCAGATGCTTACAGTCGTTTATGAGTTAAAATGCAACATCAAGGTGTGATATAATGTGAAGCAATAGATATTGATGATGGGTGGAATAACAAAGATTATATATATATATATATATATATATATATATATATATATATATACTGCTCCGGTAAATCTATGAGACTGCGTTTTTTTCCCACCTGGTAATTTTGAAAGATTGGGGAGTATCAATGATATTTCCTGTACCAAATTAATCTCGAGCTATTGAAACATTTAGAGCTGCTGCACCTCAGTTACAAATTCTTTAGAATGTGCCCACCCATCTTCCCAATAAAATAAAATTCCATGTAATGATTCAAACTAAGAAAAGTCGTAATATGATTTGAACCAGTATTCTCCACATAATTACGATAATGGCGTGATACTTTAAATTTATGAGGACCAATCGTTAATTGGATTTCACATCAATTAATGTTTTACACCTGTCTATCTTTTGAATAAGCGATAATTAACTGTTTGAACTTTATAAAACTAACTTAAGGGGCAGGTATTCTTATTCAAATATACATCAAGTTGATATGAACGCAGTTAAAAGACCGCTTCATCAGCTAATATTTATTTTAGCCTTAATCAAATATGAATAACAGATTAGCATAAGTAATTTTGAAAATTACTTAAGAAGTCTACGAGAGAAACAGCTGATTAATCATCTAGATTAAATGTAGAATGTGACGTATTAGTTAAATGGAATTAAAAAATACACTAGCCTGTGAGTTTCATCAATTGCAAAAAGAATAATGGTACACACTACCAGTCAATTTTAATAATACGATTTGAACTAATAAAAAACCATTACTGAAGTACGTGTTGCAGCCAATAGGATTAGTTTCAAGCTTTAGATGGAATAGATCATATGATTCATAGAGATACGAACTAATGGTCTACATAAAATATGGTTAGCCAGTTTCGAATGTTTGAGCACTTATTTCAATAAAATAAATTTCCCATTTATAACCTTAATATGGGAATGTTTACAATAAAACGATGACAGTGAATACCCTAAACTTATTTTCAATAAAAGCCTAATCGAAAAATAAATCTTAGAGTGTGCCATTAATATGAAATTTTGTGTTTAAATCAACCTCTTTTTTGAATTTCATTGTTCTTATGTCAAAAACTAGTTTTAAGATTGACTAAACGTGACTGAATCATTAAATTTATTATGAATTGTATGATAAATACTGACCTATTGCTGGTCAATAAAAAATTCACTGATAATCCCAAGAATATCCTTAAACAGTGAGATATCACCAAAGAATTAATCCCTGCAATGATCTACCTGATATCATGACTCAACGCACAGCAAAATAGTGGCAATACTCATCAGATATATACATTGTTGATATTTATAAACATAGATTATATTTTCATGTTTTACAAAAAATGATTAAATCATTACTCAGTGAATTTGTGGGAATGTTATCTGATGAGAACAGTTATAATAACACCATGTGAAAATCACATGTTACTTCAAAAAATTCTACTAACTCAATATTTATTTAATTAATAACTCACTCAACCAGTTATAAATGTGAGTTCTAAAGCTCAACCCCTTCAGTTCACCTGCCACAAACATACACTTATTGTAATTATTCTCTATTGTAAATTATTTATCACAAATTCAGTTGTATGGTTCAAGTGTTTGGTTCTCGGCAAACATTTAAATAACTTCAATAGTGCTATTTTATTATCACGAAAATTGATAATAATAAAAGAGTAAAAATAATTTTAAAAAACAGTACTACCACAATCATTTTCTTATTATCTATTACGTCCTAGTAATGGATGTTCTTGTCACCTCAAGAGGATTAGGTCATACGATTAGTGTAAGACTATTCTTAAAAATACCTAGATATAATCTATAATATATTGCTTATATTTGATGATGGAGCTCGAAGAATGCTCATTTATTTTAAACAATGGTTCCTTAATGATGGAACAGGTTATGCAGTCTCTATTCTATGCTCATGAACATTGAGACCAGCGAGTTGACAATACTTACTTACTTACTTACGCCTGTTACTCCTCGTGAAGGAGCATAGGCCGCTCACCAGCATTCTCCATCCAACCCTGTCCTGGGCAATCCTTTCCAGCTCCTTCCAGTTGTAATTCATCCTTTTCATATCTGCTTCTATTATCCGACGTAATGTGTTCTTTGGCCTTCCTCTTTTCCGCTTCCCTTCAGGATTCCAAGTTAGGGCTTGCCTCGTGATACAGTTTGACGATTTGCGTAATGTATGTCCTATCCATTTCCATCGTCTTCTCCTAATTTCCTCTTCAGCTGGAAGTTGGTTTGTTCTCTCCCACAGAAGGCTATTGCTGATGGTATCTGGCCAATGGATGTTGAGTATCTTGCGTAGATAATTGTTTATAAATACTTGCACCTTCTTGATAATGGTTGTATTAGTTCTCCAAGTTTCAGCTCCATACAGTAGAACTGCCGTGACGTTCGTATTGAAGATTCTCACTTTGATATTGGTTGAAAGTTGTTTTGAGTTCCATATGTTCTTCAACTGTAGGAATGCTGTTGTTGCTTTACCAATCCTCGCCTTTACGTCTGCATCGGGTCCTCCTTGTTCATCGATGATGCTTCCCAGGTATGTGAAGGACTCTACATCTTCCAGAGTTTCGCCATCAAGAGTGATTGGATTGCTGTTTTCCGCTTTGAATTTGAGGACCTTCGTTTTCCCTTTGTGTATACTGAGGCCTACTGATGCAGAGACTGCTGCCACACTGGCTGTCTTCATCTGCATCTGTTCGTGTGTACGTGATATAAGAGCTAGGTCATCTGCGAAGTCCAGATCGTCTAATTGGTTCTGAGCTGTCCATTGTATGCCGTGTTTTCCTTCAGATGTCGAGGTCTTCATAATCCAGTCGACCACCAGAAGAAAGAGAAAGGGAGAGAGTAAACAGCCTTGTCTGACCCCGGTCCTTACTTGGAATGCATCTGTCAGCTGTCCTCCATGCACGACCTTGCATTTTAGTCCGTCGTATGAGTTCCGGATAATATTGACAATCTTCTCAGGAATTCCGTAGTGTCGAAGAAGTTTCCATAACGTCCTCCTATCTACACTGTCGAATGCCTTTTCATAATCAATGAAGTTGATGTATAGTGACGAGTTCCACTCAACCGATTGTTCGACGATGATCCGTAGTGTTGCAATTTGGTCTGTGCACGACCGATCCTTACGGAATCCAGCTTGTTGATCTCGAAGTTGAGCGTCTACTGCATCCTTCATCCGGTTCAGCAAAACTCTGTTGAAGACCTTCCCTGGTATTGACAGTAGTGTTATGCCTCTGTAGTTTTCACATTTGCTCAGATCTCCTTTCTTTGGAATCTTGACGAGGTGCCCTTCTTTCCAGTCCATTGGCACTTGTTCCTCCTCCCAAATCTTTTTGAATAGAGGGTAAAGCATGCTTGTGGTTACTTCGACGTCTGATTTCAGTGCTTCAGCTGGTATGTTGTCGGGTCCTGCTGCTTTCCCGTTCTTGATTTGTCTGACGGCCGCTCTAATTTCTTCCGTCGTTGGTGGGTTGACATCTATAGGAAGATCTATGTGTGCTGCTTCGATGTTCGGTGGATTCATAGGAGCCGGCCTATTC